AGCTTTTACTCAAACTATATATCCATCCTGACTTGATGAAGGAAGGAGGTGGGATGTTCTACATTGTCCTTTCTTTCTTTTTTTTTCACATTGTCCTTTCTTAGGGAGCTAAGTTAACCAAGGCTTTATTATCTTCGACAATACTGGTCTTGAGGCTGGGGAAGAGTAAACACTAGATGGACTTATACTTGCAATTAAGTGTTCTACCTGGAAGTGACACATATCACTTCTATCCATAATCCACTATAGACTAGTGACTTTAATTAGTCACATGGTCCATCCAACTACAAGAGATGGGGTACGTGGCAGGGATGTCATCTCTGTATATGCCTGGAAAGCCAGATTGACTCAGACTAATTAAATTAAATTCTGTAGCTGGAGGTTGGATGGTTATCTAAAAAACAAACAGATAAAAACAAAAACATGGAACTCTATTAATAAGGAAGGAACAAGAATAGATGCCGAATAAGAAACCAACAGTGTGAAGTACCTGACATTTTACCATAATGGGGAAGACAGAAATTTCAGCCATGGAGGCAAGTCATAGGCAAGGATAGTTTGGCTAGTTTCCTTGGTCTTTAAATCAATCACTTCATTTATTCTTTTGATTGGAAAGATTGACTTTGGCTCTTTAATGAGTGGATGTAGTTGGAATTTCTATGGCTCAAAAGTGACTTAAAATTTTATTGGATTTGGAAGTATGGACTGTTTTTCCATATTTTATTGCTGTAGTTCCTGCCAATGGGGTGTCAAGCTAGCTAGATGTATTGTTTTAGAACTGACAAACAACTAAAGTTTATCTAGTCCAACTTTTTTATTTTGCAGATGAGAACACTAAGGCCCAAATGGGTAAAATGATTATCTTAAGGTCACACCTTCTTGCATGTAGCAGTAACAGTGATGTTTTTTGGATGATTTTCTGTAAAATGGAATCCTCTGAGTAAAATGTAGCTAGAATAACAATTATAAAACAAGATAAAAAATTTGTTTAAAATTTATAAGAAATTTTTCAGGAGAGATACTCAGTTGGTTGACATTGGTAAAGATGGAAAATTTTCTAAGCTGTTTGCTAAGTAGTTGCTGTGAACCTCCTGAGAGTCTCCTCAACCTTTCTCTCTGATCCCTCCCACCACTCTAATAAGGGGCCCACCTCAAAGGGTTGATTTTAAAATTAAATAATGGAGATAAACAGTTTATCATGGGACCTGGCACTCAGCAATATTATAACTTGTCTATTATTTTTATTATTGTCATTAATGAAATGGTAGTCAATTTCAAACTAGCTCCGACATGAAAGTTCAGGATTTTGGAAATGTGATGGTATTCAAGTTCATTAACTTTGATCTAGCTAATCTCTTGATACAATAGCTTCTCATGTACTCACTTTCATTTTGATCTTTTCTATTGTCTAATGGTTGACTCCTCCTCACCCCACCTGCAAGACCCCACAAGTTCTGGTTGATGAAAGAATTTAATCTAGGCTGTGAAAAAGAATATAAAGTACCGACAAGGTTCTATTAGTTTTTTTTTTTTCATTTTTATTAGTTGGAGGCTAATTACAATATTGTAGTGGTTTTTGCCATACATTGACATGAATCAGTCATGGATTTACATGTATCCCCCCTCCCCCCTCCCTCTCCACCCGATCCCTCTGGGTCTTCCCAGTGCACCAGCCCCAAGCACTTGTCTCATGCATCCAACCTGGGCTGGTGATCTGTTCTATTAGTTCTTAGTAAAACATATCATAAAGAATGTCCTGTACCCTGTTTTGTTGAGCATAACTTGCCTGTAAGTTTTCAGATAGGCAAAGATAGGCCTAATGCCTCGCTGGTGACCAAGCCGTGGAGGTTGTGGAGCAGTTCTACTTGCTCAAGCAAATATCAGACACCAGGCATGATGAGAGGCAGATGGACTAAGAAGAGATGGAGGGTCCAGAAGCATAGAGGGAGGCTGGAGCTTATGAGAAATCAGCCTTTGGCAGAGATGTCTGCTGGTAGCCAGAGATGTTTAGAATCTTTTGGGGATATTTTTCTGTCAGAAATTTAACCCAGCAAGAAGGCAGAGTTTCAGTAGTAACCTCTTTTGTAAGAGTAAAAGAAATGTGTTTTTTTAAAAGCTGGAACTGTTGGGAATTTTCTTGAAATTTATTATTGGCCCAGACCTTAATGTGTAAAGATTGGTTCTCAAAAATCAGTTGTTTAACTGATATTTCCAGTTCTGAGGTGGCCACTAAATGCTGGGCAAGTCCTGGAAAGGGCTGTGTTCTGTCAGTGACTGAGATGTCCATTGACTCAACAGAATGCAATCCAAATTGCCAAAGGACTAGTCTCTGAGTATATTTTACAGACAGCAAATTATCAGGTTTGGGCTTCCCTGATGGCTCCACAGTAAAGAACCTGCCTGCCAATGCTGGAGAGGTGGGTTCAGTCCCTGGGTGGGGAAGATCCCCTGGAGAAGGAAATGGCAACCCACTCCAGTATTCTTCCCTGGGAAATGCCATGAAAATATGAGCCTGGTGGGCTATAGTCCATGGGGTTGCAAAAGAGTCGGACATGATTCAGCCACTAAACAACAACAAGAAGACAAGAACCGTCCTATAAATGTGCAAGAAATTCAGGACAAACATTCTTTGGACAGATTTTTTATTTTTTTGAGCAGAAAGAGGTAGAGAATATAAGTATTTCACTTCCTAGGCTTTTGGAAAGGAAAAATGAAGGCAATATTAAAAAACCCAGGAGTTTTGAGGCAAATGTAAAGGAAAGCTTTGAAACTGGAGATCTTAAAGTTAGACATGCTTGTTAAAGTATTGTTAAAAAGTACAGTTTAAATTAAAAAAGCAGATATCGACCTCACCTCTGACTTATAAAAAGTACCTAGAGTTTGACTGATGAAACTTTGGCCTTTAATCTATCTTACTATGGCATAAGTCTAAAATTTCTGTTCAATTCCAACAGCTAAAGTATGTAGCCATTATAGCAGACTTTTGTTCAGTTTATTAACTTAGTGCAGAAACCGCTGCAGTAAGTGATAGCAACGACGCATAGGATAAATGATGGTTGAATGGTGGAATATAAATGCTAAGCTAGAATATAGTTCTGGCTCTGCCAGTATATATTTTTGTGTAACCTTAGATCAGTCACTCCACTTTTTTCTCAAATTTCTCTTCTTACAGGGAGACAATCATAAAAATGACTGGAAACTACCACTTCACTGAGAGCTTTTTCTTTAAAGGGATTGTTTCCCTATTCTAACTACCTAACAGGATGATGATAAAACTCAGTCGCAAGGTCCAGCAAACCTCTTTCAGAGGAAAATAAACTTCTCGAGGACAGGAAACTTTTTTTTTTTTTGAATCAGCAGCATCTTATTTGTATTTTTGTAATACAGTTTCTGGACTCTAAAAAGGTGTCAACAAATATTGTAAATTTATTAATATTATTAGGCAGATTGCAGTCTTGGCAGCCCACCTTTTCTGTGATCCTTTCATACTTGGCATCTAAAACGCCGCCGATCTTCGCTCTGTGATGGGTTCCCAAGGCATTTACTTAAAAATATCCAAGTCTCGAGAAGTCATTCTTGTCTTTAGGGGCACCATTTCGCTTTCTCAAGGTATTGCACCCAGGCTTGCGATCTGGGTCCGGAGGCTACAGGGAAGAGTTCGGTACGGGAAGCTCATCCTCCCGCCCTCCGATTGGCTGACTCGCACTCCACTCACGCGGTTCCTGTCTCTGATTGGCCGTCGTAGCACCCCCTCCTCGGCTCGCGACTACTTTGTGTGCCTGGGCGGCGCGCTCAGCTTCTCCGGCTCAGCTCGCCGTCAGGGCTGGACTGGGCTAGCTCTTCGGCCCACTGCTCTGCATCGCGGGCGCCAGGAATTTTCCCGAGTCCGAGCCGGGTAGGAAGCATCCTAGGGAAAAGCTCCCTCCCCCGCCCCATGTTTTCTTTCCCGTACTGAATAAACTTCCTCCTTGGAAGGGTTGTTGCAGCCGCGGGTCGGGGGGAGAGGCCAGGCACCGAACCCAGGCTCTCATGGGGGAGGGGTCTTTCTGTCCGGGCGAATGTGGAAGACCAGCTCTCACAAGATTAAACCGGGCTTCGCTATTCGCAAGGGAGTGCGATGCCATTCTATGATCGTGCTTTGCAAGCTGCAGCGGAGCGGCCAGACCTGCGCTACGGGGGCTGAGCAGCAGCGATCACTCCTAAAAAGTAGCAAGGAGCCTGCTTCGTATCTCCAGTACCAGTGGTACTTAAGGGCCGCGGGCTGAACTGGCACGGGCCGATTCGTTTTCCGGCGGTTGAGAATACGGCATTCCCCGGAGGTGGCGCTCCCGGGAGTGGGGAAGCCCGGCTCCGCTCGCGCCTCCTTCAGCCTCTGGCCTTCAAGCGGTAGAGGGCGGCCTACACTCGTGTCGGAGTCGGCGCCCGTGCGCCCAGCCCTGCTGCCCCTGCTAGAAGTCTCCCGGTCCCGCTGTGGCCCGCGGCTCAGCCCGGCAGTCGGACGCTGCGGCTACGCGGTCCACGGGCGCGGCGAGAAGGGGGCGGGGAGAAGCTCTGGCACTGGCGGGGGTCGCTGTAAGAGGCAGTGGCCAGCGCATGCGCGCCTTCTCCCAGAAGCTTGGGACGCTGAGGGGGCGCGCGCTCCCATTCGCGCGGGCACGCTTGCGCTAGCCGAGGTTTCCCCGCCTGCGCTCGCGGTCAGAGCCGCTCCGGCGCGTGCGCGTGTTATCTCCGGTAAACGCGAGTAGCCCGGTTGTCTTCGCTCCAGACCCCCACCCCTCGCCGCTCCCCGGCCGACCCGTCCCCTTCCTCTCTTCGCGGAATGGGGCCGGCGCTGCTCGGGGTCGCGCGCCCGGGACCCGGCTCGCGCTCGGTCTCGCGCTGTCAGCGACTGCCTGGCTCGCGCCGCCTCTCGCTTTCCCTCAGTCAGTGGCGCCGAAGGCTCCGTTAAGCAGCGACGGCGGTGGTTCCTGTTTCCGTTTCTTCCTCTCCCTTCAGTAGGGAGTAGCATCCTCCACCCAGCCACCCCTCCCACTTCCCCACCGCGGGGCAGCTGCAGCTGAGGGCTGCAGCGGCGGCGGCTGCTGGGGAACGGCGGAGACCGCCTCTGCTCCCGCCTCGGGTAAGGGGGCGTTTGGGAGCCGGGCCCCGCGCGCCCGGCGGTCTGGAGGTGGGCAAGCGCGGGATCTCAGGAGGCTCCGGGGAGGTGCCTGCCGGCCGTCGCAGCTCTCTTCCCCTCGAGGCGACCCCCGGGCCTGTTGCTGCCACTGCTGCTGCTTTTGCAGCGGCTCCGGGGAAAGTGGGGAGGGAGCCCCCGGGACCCTCTGATGGGTGCCGTTGCGGGGGGTGTGGGCCGCGGGCAGGGGACTAGGGACGCCTGCCGCCTCGGCCGGGGCGTGGAGCGGCTCGGCTGCTGCCCTCGGCGTCGCGCATCCTTGGTCAGGGCAGGGGCCGAAACCGAGGAAAGGAGATGGGGGCGGGGGTGGGAGGTGTCCCTCCTCTCTGCTCTTACCTGCCCTTTCGCCAGCACCTCTCTCCCTGGTGTCACAGACTGTGGGGCGGAGCATGCTTGTGCGTTAAGGGCTTTCCTGAGGGGTTCTCCGGCAGGAAATCGGGGAGTGGACAGTGCCAGGGCAGTTTCACGGCTTGAGTGCCGCTGCACCCTCGTTTAATGTGGAAATGATGAGCTGGCGGCTTTAGAGCTCCAAACTTATTTGGGAAGGTTAAATGAGTTCATAAGTATTTATTTATTTAACCTCCAGTTAAAGGAGGTTTGTCCTGCAAGAGTGAGTGGGCTGTCGTGTGCAGCACCTGTTTTTTTTTCTCACGGTGGGGATTGCAATCTTCAGCCACACATAACGTCAGAGACGCAGTGTATTTCTTAAGTTAAATGGCAGTGTCATGGTTAGAATTTATCCCTGGTGAGCTTTAGCGTTTGAGTGAGGCCTTGGATAGAGCAGGGTGTTATTTCTTATTCCCATGTTTGAGTTAGTTTACAGTTGACTTAATCCAGCTCAAGAGTGTGGAGCTAGGCAAACCAGAATCTCCTATAGAAAAACCCTAAACCTCAAGGTAACGTGGACTAAATTTCGAGAAAAGTTTTCTCTCAGTTTGCAGTTAAACTCATCACAAGTAACTGATTGAACTTTGGCTTGGTTCTCTTTAGAAACTGCAGGCAAGGTTTAATTGCAGTTTTTTGCTCCCTTGTTATTCTTGGGGATAAGTGCATATTTATTTTCTTTATTAACTTATTTTTATGCGTATTTCTTTTAAAGAATGCATCATATAGAAAACTTTTTAGGAGAGAGATTTGCAGCACTCTAGAGTTATGCTGAAGTAGTGGAGTAGGTTGTATTCTCTCTTCTTGAAAGTAACTTAAAATTAACCTGAAATCCTATGCTGTATAATAAAGCCTTGTACATTGCTAGCCTTGTGAAATATATCATAAAATGCACATAGTAAATCTTAGTTTGATTTATACTTACCACAATAGTAAGGATAAGTTGGAAATTCAAAGATTTGAAATTATGATTTTATAGCTTAGTATTAAGAATGCAGGGTGTTAGAAATGAATAGGATTTAAGTAACATAGAAGGGTGGTTTGGAGGCGTGAATTTTCCTTTTCCTGCTTTATTTTAAACTGAGAATTCTACTTGAATTGCTGAACAGCTGGAATGAAAGTTGCATAGATAGCAGAAACAGATGTAAAAAAATGTGTCTTTGATCAAGTAGTGAGTTAACATGAAGAATATCTTGTGGTTTATTAAGACAGTGATTCAAAATAATTTCCATAAAACATAGCATTATATAGATTGTATTTTAGGATGTTCTTAAATTGAAATAGACACTTGAAGTTGTTTTCTTTCAAGTCAGTTTTGAGACATAGAATTGAAAAACAGTACCTTAGGGTTACATTCTGCAGTGTTTGGTTTTAACTAGTTATTTTAAGGCATTGGAGTGTCTTTAAAAGTGGTGAATTTTTAAATCACTAGTGGCTTGGAAAAATTTGTGTTCCTTGTTTATTTTTTTAAGTGCCGTGATATCAGTAGGTTGGTCTGGAGGGGGAGCTAGTGCCAAAGCAAAGCATGGTTTAATATATGTTTGAACTTTTTAAAACACCCCAAACCAGATTTTTGTGACCAGAAGAAAGAGAAACTTAATTTTTAGTTAAAAGAGTGAGGGAATTGATAATGGATGTTGTATCTTATCTGTCCATAGTTACTTGAGGAGTATATATATTGTATATTACAAATTAGTTAGAAGTTTTTTTCGTGATCTGAAAATAAATGCATAAGGTTTGTTTAATTTCTCACTTTAAACCTCTGAAAGTATGTCCCCAAACTTAGGGTATATGGTGATAGTTTCTTAACCTTCTTATGCAGTGCATCAGAAAGGAAGCAGTATTTGTTAACCCTTTGTGCATGTTTTATCTTAAGTTTTTTCTTTATAATATCTACCTAAAATTTCAAAAGAGCTTCAAGTAGAGTCTTATAAGAGAAAAGATATCAAGTGTGTAGTAAGCTAGGTATTTATCAAAAGTAGAGGTAATTGCAATAAAAAAATGGGTCCTTTAAACATCTGGAGAGCAGTATCCCAAGGTCACTTCTTAACGTCTCTCTCCTGCAATATAATGCAGTGAGTCCAGCTGATCTATGAAATTGAACTTGTGCCTTTGAATATGAAGCAGTAATTTTTTTGATCTGTGGCACTTATTTAGGTTTCTGAACTGCAATCAGTTTTGATTTCACTTCTTACGGTTCACATATTCTTCAAATTTGAGGTTAGCATTGAGTATAGTGTATATTAAAATCAGAATATTTTCATTTTCTGAGGGTAGTAGTTGGGTTGTTCTCCATTGCTATTCATTGTGTAAATAGAATTTTGGTGGTGGTAAGATAAAAAAGTAGATTCTTTGAAAGGAATGAAAATATCTGTGATATACAGAATAGTGGGGTGTTTATTGTATTTAAAAACTTAATGCTATAAATTAATCAGTTTTATAAGATATTCTAGAATATTTTCATATATCTTTTTCATTTCTTTAATGGTTCTTTTTGATTCACTGCACAGTACATTTAGTAAATCTTTGGTTTAATTAAATGGTGAACATACCCATTTCATATTATAGCACACTTATAAAAGTAAAAGCATTTTCATTTCATAATCATAAAAGCAAATGTAAAAATAAACATGTAATTAAGTTTCTTTACTTAAAAATAAAACAAAATTGAGATTCTAAGCAACTCTGAAACCAGCATAATTTTTCTACTCAGGCATCAATACTGGTCCTATTGGTACTTTTCAAATGAGATGTCAATCTCCAGTCTTCTGTAGTCAACAGTAGTATTGTAGGTATGGGATTTAGAGGATCAATACCAAGTTTTCCTTGGTTCTCCTGTTGATGATTCTCTGGCTTATCATTTCTGTACCATACAGTATATGGTTTTGCAGTTTGAATTGCTACTGAATTGTACTACTGAATTGTATTGTAGTTTGTTATAATGAAGGTAACATGTCTAAAAGTAAGGAGTAATTACAACTGATTCTTTTAAAAAAGACCTTTCAAAATTCAGAGCAGAGGAAGGTTATATGGGGATATATATATATTTTTTATATATATGTATATATATTTCTAACAGATTAGTCTCGAGTCTCAACCTTCATTTTTCTCTACATTCTACTTTCCTGATTACATCTCCCCTTCTCCAACCATCCTCCATCATCCTGCAACTTTCTCTTTGGGATAAGTAGGAATCAAACCAATAGAATGAATCATATCATTCACTTGGCATAGTTTTTTCTTCCTTGATTAAATGACTTTATATCAGTCCGTATAATATTTTACAGATAAAGCCCATATGGACTTTATGCAATACAGTAGATTTTCCTTTTAATGGAAGAAGAGCAAATAGGGCCTATTGGATTATGCCGTGTATTTCAATATAAGAGTTATTCATGCTCTTTACAGAAAGTAGAGCTATAGAGTTAATTTCATTTACATTTTTTAAGATAAAGGCTTTATTTGCTAAAAACCCAATATTACACTCATTTACTACTTTTTAAAAATATCTTTTTGTGATACTTTTTGTAGAAGAGAACATGTGAAGAGGAAATGTGCTGAATTTTAAGTTTAAAAAAATTGACAAATTGACAAATAATGCTAGAACAGGTGTAATTCAAACTTGCCTTTGCTATCATTCTCTTTTCTTTTGTATTGGTTCTATAGTATAACTTTTTCATTTAAGCACTGGAATAAAGCTTTGACAATCACTCCTGAAATGCTCTCCTGTATTTGTTGTATCTAAGAACTTTTGGGTTTTTTTTGGAAATTAAACTAATTCAGGGATAAACTGAATAAACATGATTTAACATATTTACGTTAAGAAGATCAGGCTTAACGTTGCTTCTTGTCATAGTCTCAGTGCCTGGTAGGTGTAAATAAGGTTCATATTAGAAAATAAATAATTATTGATGTTAATCTTTGATGTAAATGGGACATTAAGCTCATGTTTATTTTAGCATCTTGGTTATGAGAAGTGTTACATCATGTGAGTTATAAATGCTGTAGCTTTCTGTTTGTAAATGAACAAAAGTGAAGGGAAAATGGAAGATTGTTCGTTTGATTTACCCCAAATATATAACTAAAATGAACCTGTTTTGTGTCTGTGTAAATCTTATTCTTTTTAAAAGCTGTTAATTAACCATGAATGAGTTTTAAATTTTTACTAATTTATGGCTGGCTGTTTATATCCCTTAGATGAGATAAATGCCATTTAATATGCCTTAATACCTAGAGCTTTAGAATAAATTTGTAGTAAAAGTGGTATTTACAAATCATCAAACTGTAAAAGCATCCCAGTGTTATTAAATGAGTTAATATTCCATAAGCTGCTTTTAAAATTACTTTTATAGTTTTAAAAATTAATTTATTGTAATATCTTGATAAATAGTAAAGGTGGAAAAATACAGTGTGTAGCTTTTCTATTTCATTCATTGTCTCAGCCTTAGGTAAGCTTGGGACCAGTGAAGGGTGGGAGACTGAGAGAGGGGATGTACTGGGTGATGAACCTGCTTTCTTTAGAGGTGAGGGGGATTTCTTCTTCACTTTCTTCTACTCCATCC